GTACAGGAAGCAAGCAAAATACAGCAATCTGTTGAAGGAATGTCTTAGTTATATCTGGTTATTCATAATCACCTACAAGCATGGTAATAAGAAAATACAGTTTGAGTCAATAAATTCAAATATATTTAGTGCTGTTAACATCATCTCTGTCAGCAAGAACAATGTGGTTAGCCTCAAGCATAGCAGAAATCAATTTACAGTGTTGATCAGAAACCAGAAACATCAAAGATTTCACAGTAACTATTGGCAATAAAATAGTAATTTCTGATATAATTCTGTAAATTTTAATACCTCCAAACACTGTACCATCTCCAATTAGATGACTCTTATATAGTTTTTTTGTGAAAGACATGGCAGCTTTTTATTAGCTTATGATGTGTTTATTATTGAGTGGGAATGGGTCACCTGGAATTGTTTAATCCCAGATTTGTGTTTGTTCTTTTGCTGTCTGTAACCTAGAGGAAATTTGGTGTTGTTTTTGTTGGGTTTGCTGCTTATATTTACTAAGGGTAGCTAGACAGGAACTATGAGTAAAATAGGAAATCTTGGGCCATTATCATGAAATGAGTTACAGTGATAATTCAGAATAAACAAATTTCTTGTTAGCAAAATTAAGAGAAAATTCTCTGTTTTGTGAAAATGCATGGCAAAATTCATAGTGGGATTCAGTTTCACCATAAAAATAATAATATGAAAGTAGTGAAGGAAGTATTAATTTTCACCTTACAGGTCAGGCTGTTGCCTTAGGACTTTATATTTTAATATTAAAAGTTGTGTTATTCTTTCATTTATTAAACTGTTAAAACAGGTATATTGCTATGGCAAATTTTTAATATTTTCCACCAGAAAGTGTCTAGTTGTGCTGGGAACCAGATCTCTTTAAATTATTGGAAGAGTTATATAACATGTGGAGTTTCTTATGAAAAATGGTTTTAAAATTTTCAAGTCATTCCCAATCTTAATAAGATTTTTATTTAAAGAATGAATAATGAATTATGCATTTTTGAATTATGAAAGTCAGTAATACACTAAGTATCTTAGATGCCTTACATTATTGCATTAACATATGTAGCCCTCTCTTAACACTTTTTTTTTTTTTTTTTTTTTTTTTCCAAAAGAATGAAAATTTAAATATGAAGGTAGTTTATTGCCTTTAGTTTTCCCTATGCAACTTTCAGAAGGTCCCCCTGGTTCTGCTACATATCAGAAAACATCATTATTAGGCTTGCACTATTTTTAACTCCTTTGCAATTTCCAGTAATGGTTACTTACTGTGTGCAAAACCATTTGGTCGATGTTTAGAAACTGAAATTATATTGTAAATTATAATTACATCACAGCCATAGGTTGAGTGTGATTTCCAGAGGAAAGAAGAAATATTTTATTTCTTTTTTGGAACAAAAAAATTCTCATGTGGGAGGAGAAACTCAGGGTATGGATCGCACATCTTTCTTTTTTCTCCCAAATAAAAATTATTTCTGTTGAGGTATTTTTTGCATTATTTTGGAATTGCGAGTTCTTTTTGGATCACAATGGTGCTTCAGGTTGGACATATTTCAGTGCTTGAGTAGAAAGTGGATTTCGCTGACCAGAATGGATGTTTAATCTTCTCTTCGATGTAAATTTAGGAAATCTTTGTTTCTTTCCTCCCTTTTATGCATTTCAATGTTTTCATTTCTTTTTGGGATAGGGGTCATTCAAGCGCGTGTATGATTATACTACTTGTTATACTACTTTCTAGTTTCTTTACATTTTAACATGAAGTGCTCAAATGAGAGAAAAAGATGAAAAAGTGAATGACAAATCCCTTTCTGAGGTATGTTTGAACCTGCATCCTAAGTAGGGGTGCTGTAATGACACATGTATTAAGTGCAGGAGTCCTCTTTTCCTGCTGAACTCCCTTCCAATTTTCTTTGACTACTGAGTTAAATTCTAGACTTTTATTTCATTCTCTATTTTGAAGTCCATGGAGTGATTTTATACCTGTTTGTTGTGGTCAGTGAGTCTTATCATGGACAATATCCCTTTTTGGTACATGGTGTTTCACACAACAAGAAAATATTGTTGCATACACTGCATACACTGTATAATGTTGCTTCTTCTATGATTCTTTTGGGAGCCTGTTGACTCATTAGATCTCTGTTTATTAAATAACAGAGTAGCAGAGGTCACTGAGTCAATGGAGGTAGGTTCTTTAGCCACCTCTGCCTCTCTGCCTTCACAGTCAGTGTAGTAGCAGTGAGGAGAAAAAAAACAACAAAAACAAAAACAGAAAACAAAACAAACAAACACTTGGTCTTATTCAGGATAATGCCTCAGAACACTGGCCATATTTTTTTATCTTCAGTACAGATGCGACTGAGTCATTTCCTCATCTCTGTTCTTTCCTATTTATAGTACAGCTATGAGATAATGTCTAATGATTCCTAATTCTGTTGAATTACTGTAATTAGTATTTAATTTGTGTACTGTGGGTCATCCATGCCCTTAATCATGCAAGGATAAACCTAGATGAGGAAGAGGCCTAAATGATGTATGAGGCTAGTGTGTAATGTAAGGATGTGTGGTGGGAACAAACATCAGATAAATGATGTCAGACACAACATGAGTGTACCTTTTTTATTAAAGAAATCCAGATGTTCTGAAATATTCTGTTTCTCTCCTTCAAAGGAGATGGACCATTAATGAAACTAATGAAATTTTAAACCAAAAGAATAGCAATTGTGGTTAAGGTATTATGACATAGTTAAATTGCAATACAAATTGTCAGATGATGTTAAGGAGGCCAAAACCATAAATGGACTCAAAAAGGGATTAGTCTCATTCCTGTCTCAGGAATTTATGTGCCTAGGGATTGGCAGAAGCTTGAGAGACAAACCAGAGAAGAATTCCTCTGTACATATTTTTATAAACATCAAATAACAATATCTACTGTCAGACAAACTGGCCAAACTGGGACTCAGTTCAGACTCTACAGTGTCCATTTGAGAAGAATGTGTAAAAAACAGCATAAAAATCCTGCTCTGATACCAGGAAATATTTGTGTGTCATTGTGACAGCTGACATACTAATGAGGACCTCAAAATGGAGTTGAAATGTCTGAAAAGTTACCGCCGAAGCCTTGAATTTATTTCATCATGAACACTTCTTCCAATCACAACGAAAAATTGATAGTCTTCAGTTCTGAAGTATTTATTACACAATTTCTGATACCATGGTGTTTTAGTTGTAAAAGAGCTTATCCAGAGAATAAAACTGAAAAACTGACCAGAAGCTACAGACATTACTGTAGGCTGATATTGCTCAAATATTGAGAACGATTAAGGACATACAGATTTTCTCTGATAACAAATTGGTATTAAAAATGGTGGCTGTATCTTCTATTTTGAATGGAATAGTCAGGTAAAAAAATGCATTTCTTTAAGTTATACTAGATGAAGATACCAAAGCATAAAGGTTAAGACTAATAAGGATTCATGTTAAAATTTAGAAAACTCTTTAGTGTTCACTATAAGGCAGGAGAAAAGCACCTTTTATATGAAATAACCTAACAGTGATTGAAAACTACTTAATCCAAAACACATTTTGATTTTAGCTACTTTATTCAGTAGTAGAAGAGGCATTACTGTTTTGCCCACAAAGCTAAGACTTGTCTGTGCTTTCTGCATCCTCCAGAATTTGTGAGAAAATTAGCAACAGAATTCCTGGCATGCAGTTGTTTCCTCTGTTAGCTCTCTGAGCTGACAATAACCAAGTGCACACATTTTCTGTCCAAGGAACATATTAGATTTTTGAGGTTTTAAGAAATTTAGTTTCTGTGTAGTTTGATGTGTCTCTAAACATATTAATAAATAATCATTTCCAAAATACAGAGTAATTGCTGTTTGAAAACTGAAGCAAAGAAAGTGTATATCAGAATCTTTTTCTGATTTTTCTGACACTGCTGAACTAGGTGACTGTTAAAATAAGAAGCTTAATGATCTATTTAACATAATAGCAAATGAAGCTTTAAATTTAATATAACTACGACTGATGTTTTAGAGATACATGCCTAAGCTTTCAGTCACTGAAAAATACCATGGGCTTAATTCTCCTAAGAATCACACAGATTCTCACAATGTAAGTTACTTCTAGCCAGAGACAAGGGAGAAAAAAACAACAACAACAACAACAACAACAAAAAAAAAAAACAGTGATATTGTCTCTAGCTTTGTCTTAGACAGCTACAAAATAATATCAACATAGGAAGGAACTCTCCTCCATGTAGAGGAGGTTGTCTTGTTAGAGTTGGAGAAAAATATTCTCTTCTTAGCATTATACTTTGATAAGGATCAAAAGGTTTTAATTGTCAGTAATTTCTTCTTTAATTCACCAAGCAGTGTCTGGTTTTGATTTCTCTGTGTTCTGCTAGCGAAACTCATGGGGACCTGCACAGTGTTGTACTGATAATATGTTGGACATGGAGCTTGAGCCATGGCAGTCAATCTGTGTGTTTGTTTAATATTCTGTATTGTGTAAAAGCTAGTTTCAGTTTGAGCTTTAAGCAAATACCTTGGGAAACTTCATTGTTTCAGACCAAGACCAAAACTAAAATTATACTAGTTCAAGTGGTGCCTACCTGTTTCCATTTATTTGGTTTTCAGCCTGTATTTTTTGATGGATCTTAGATTTTCTGTACATCTCTGTCCCTCTGGAATTCATTAAGTCTAGCTCTAGAGTATAAAGGTGACAATTTAGATGTAGTATAGTAGTGTTTGTGTTACTCTCATTTTGAATTGAGCTGTCCAATCAACACCTACAGACTTTGTAGGTATTAGTTTACTCTGCATGCTGTCTTGGAAGTGTAGCCTAATGATGTTTTTGATAGAATAAACACTTACAAAAAAGAATTTTATTGTATATATTCACAGTTCTGTGGGAACAAAGCAAATAAATCACCTTAGTAGCTAGTTTCTTTTGAAATTAATGTGTTGTGAATTTATTCTTTTTCATTTTTTTAGGAAACTGCTTCTCAGAATGTTCAGAGCCACACATATGTTTATAGGTAAAGTAGACTGTTTCTCCTTCTATTTCTGATTCAAAGCTATTTAATCAAAAGATTTTCATCTTAAAAAATAGCGGTGACATTGTCTCTATAAATGTAAGTAATTTTATATATTAGTCTTGTACAGAGTGATTAGTATGAGAGAGTTCTCAACAAGAATGTTATAGATCTTGTTACAAAAAAAGTGCAGCTTTGTTAGATGAAACCATTTCAAACTTCTTTCATTACTTGAAGACATAACATTGTCTTTACAGATCTTTTGAAGTTGGGATTTTTTAGATGGTTGAAAAAAATGTTCCAATATTTGAAAAGATCAACTAAAAGAGATGGCGGGTCATAGAACTTCAGGGCAAACCCCAAGAGGGTTTTGATCCAAAGTCCCTTAAGTTGCTGTACATTTGTGTTTTCATTCATACCAGTGCCTTCAAATACTTGCCAAGTTTAAAAAATATATATCTTTGTTTTATTTCACACTAAAGGTCTCATTCAGAGAGGCACTGTAAAACGGTGTATTTCCTTTATGTTGCTCTTCTTGGGAGTTGAGGAATAGTATGGCTTAATGAGGTACTACATGGATTATCAATAGGATTTTATGATGGACCTCAGTAGCTTTACATCAGAAGCACACTTAAAAGGCTTATAAGAAAAGCAGTGAATGAAGAGTTAGTGCTCCATTTTTCAGAAAAAAAAAAACAATAATAATACAAAAAAAAAAAAAAACAAAAAAAAAAACAGATTAACAAAAGCAAATTCTTGATAAAGTACTGTTTATTTTGATTCATTCATGATTACTGAATAAAGCCAAGGATTAAATATCTAGATATTTTTTTAATTCTTCAGAGCTAACAGATATTCTTAGCAAACATCAAAATAATCTAAGTAGTATAAGAGACAATTTTCAAAATAGGTACGGAAAACAATAAAAGGCAAAAATAACACAACAATACTCATAATATTTTTACTTCTTGAAAGATATATTGTTTATTTTCAATCTGCATATTCCCCATGGTTACATTTTATTTCTGTGTAACTCCCATGCCATTATATTATTTGTGCCTATTTATGACAGAATTAAATGCAGTGGATGTAGAAATGGGGAATACATGTTTTTAACCTGCTTTCAATTACTCTTTAATTTAATTTCCTTAGACAACATATGAAGGTAAGAATGGACAGAATCCAGTTGTCCAAATTCATCTGTCATTCTTCCTTTTAAAATTTATAAATTGTTATTTACAGGTAGAAGTAAGGATTATGAATAACATATGAATAAAGTACCTTTTACCAATGAGCAAAATAAGACTGAATCACTCATAGCCGCAGTAAGATTACTCAGATATTTTGTGGGCTATAAGATATAGCTTGTATACTGAAGAAACCAGAAATAGGAATTGGAAACGTTGCATTGTATTATATGTTAGAGATCAGGAAAAAATAGAAGTAGGGAATAAGTAATTTTAGATACATCTGGTATTAAACTATGTGCAAGTGAGCTAATGTGCAAATACAGCTATAATAAAGCTACAGAATAGTTCAGTAAAAAATTTTCAGGCATTCTGTCAGGATACCAGTAGGACAGTGTCTTCCCTGATGTATCAGTGCAGTTTAGCTATAGGAAAAACTGAGGTACAGCATAAACACATGAAAAACTTACAGTACTCAAACCAGATCAAAGCTCTGTCTTGCACAATATTGTGTTTGATCAATTATGAATACATAGAGAATCGTATGAAAACAGGACAAGTATACATTGATAGCTCGCAGCCTACCCCTACATAGGTGTCTGAATCTACTTCCAAATCCACTGCCATCCATATTGATCTTATTCACCCACAGCTTAATTTATTTGTGTGAGAAGATTTAATTCCTTTGGGTGTTTTGAACCTTTTACCCCCTAGTTTCATTTAATATCCTCTAATCTTTTTATTAGACAAGGTAGTGAATTAATAGTTGCCAAGTGACTTTCTCCATATCCGATATGAATTTCTAGATGTCTGTCAAGCTCACTCCAGCCTTAGATTTTGCAGGCTGACAAGTTCTAGGAAACCAATCTGTCTGATGCATTTCGATTACAGAGGATATGTGGCATCTGAATTGCAAATAGCGTATGATAGTGGTTGAGGCCATAAAGTCTAGCTTCAAAATGTTCAGCAGTTCAGCATCTCAGACTTTCTGATTTGGATCAGTGCCATTTCGAAATATTTCTCCTTGATGAAATTCACATGTAATGATGATTTAAAGGAAATGACTCGAAATTATGATTTCCTGTGAAAGATTTGGTTTTGCAAACCATAATCTGGTGGAGAAAACAAAACAGCAAAAGTTACCAACTGGTTCTAGATGTAAAGAAAATGATAAAGAGATACTTCTCAGGACCTTTGTCATATAGTATCGTGACAATCCAGACGCACAGGTACTGCAGTGTTTGTAAAAAAAAAAAAAAAAAAAAAAAAGAACTATGACAGGGCCATTTAAACTCTGTTTTGAATTTTGACTGAGGAGTAATATTGAAGAGAATTGTTGGAATTAGACATATATATTAAAAAAAACAATTTGCGTCCTTTTTATATATAGAAAAAATATATTAAAAAATAAGATGGAAGTTGAATCTCTTTTACTTTAAAAAAAAAAAAAAAAAAAAAAAAGACCACTTCTAATCTACTTACAAAGAAGGCATTTTATTTCTTATAATATGCTGGCTCTAAAACTTGATACTGTCTCAGGAGAACACATGTAGTATCATGCTTGGTGACTTCTTGAAATTTACTATTTCCCTTGCTCTCACAAATCTTTTCAGAACATCAATTTGCATTTCTTCTACAAAGTAATTTTTCTTAATCTAATAGTGTATTTAATGATTAATATAATTCACTGTTAGAAATATATTTTTTATTTAGAATTTAAAAGATTATGTGATAGCATTTAGGGATACATACCATAAATCGCACTGGAGTAAATGACAATTAAAATAATAACTTACCACATATATTTAAACATTATGAAAAGGTCATTAGAGCTGTTTCATCTGTCCTTATTTATGTTAGTGATTGAGTGAGTGAGCAAATTTAAAAGTAAATTTCATAATAGGTTGATTCCATTTCAGTGTAACAGTGTGTTTCAGTTGAAACAGAGGTGATGTGGGATAGGTGATGCTGCTAATCTCACCTGCTGCTCTAGCTATCAATACTCGGAATTCTTTCATACAGTCTGGAGTAAATAGAACACTTTGGGGATGTTAGAGGTGAAGATTTTGTATGAAAGGGAATGTATCGCATTTAAATATATGCCTGTTTTTAAACATAGAATATGTGTACCAAAAGATAGGAGCATAGACTATTTTTAAATTAATATCTGAAAATGTTGTATCTCATCACAGAAAACTGTGAGATGAAAGTTGTCCTAATTTGCATGGATAACATTATTAAATAGATTCCCGTGTATTGGTTAAGATTGCATGGAACATTTTTTAAACCTGAGTTTATCAGCAAGAGGGAAAGAATCCAAATATTACATGTGCTGGCAAATACAAATGATTTTATAGTTGGCTAGAAGAACTCATGGGTGATCTCAGTCATGGAATAAACTGAGTTCCATTTGTTAAATGCCCCATGAAGCCATAATAAGGGATTCTGTATGCATCTGTTGCACATTAAAGATGTGTGATCAAGCACCATATTTAGAAAATAAGATCCAAGAAATATCTTAAAAATTCTCATCTTTGGAAAATACAATATTACTGCTTTTTCTCATATCAGAAATAGCAATTGAGTTTTCTGTGTAGCTGGCTGAATAATTTATGTTGATCTGTTTAAATTTTATCATTAATGTCCACAAAGCATTTAAGGAGATCTTAAATCGCTTGTATGCAGAAATGATTTAAAATAATTTGTTAAAGTATTTGTGCAAGTATATATAAATATTGCTTTTGTCTTAGAAATATGCTTTTTTTCTGAACGGGAATGCAGTTGACTTGGTTGAACATATGCAAACAGATTCTTACCAATTATTTAATATAAGAAGGCTATATGATATAACCAAGTTTCTATATGTATATAAATGATTCTGTTAAAATTGGAAATCATTTTCCATTGCTACTCTGTGAAATAAATAAAAGCTTGATCAAGTTCATTTAAATCCGATCCTAGTTAGAGTTCTGTGTGTAAGTCGCAGTTGAATAGAGGGCTTCAAACATAAATTGATTTTATGTTGAGATGTAATTCTTTCAATTATTCTTCAACATTGTATTCTGAATAGGAATTGATACCATCTTTAAGATGACTCTAATCCAGAACAGGTTCTCAAAATCAGCACAGGCTATTTTAATATACTAGTTATAATCAATTTAATAATAAGACGCCAGTCTTCAATTATATGTTGGTCAAATAAAAACCCACAAAACTTTGTAATTTTACAGTAATTGGTGTCATGCCAAGTGATACGGAAGTGGGCTCATAAGAATGTAATGAGGTTCAGTGAGACCAAGTGCAAGGAGTTGCACTCGGGTTGGAGCAATCCTAGATATGAACAGAGACTGGGTAATGAACTCTTAGTGAGCAGCCCTGCAGAGAAGAACTTGGGGGTCCTGATGGGCGAGAAGCTGTATATGAGCCAGCAGTGTGCTCTCGCAGCCCAGAAGGCCATTGGTATTGGGGGCTGCATCAACAAGGACTGGGCCAGCAGGGAGAGGGAGGGGATTGTCTCTCTCTTCTCTGCCATTGTGAAGCCCCACCTGGAGTTCTGGGTCCAGGCCTCGGGACCCCAATACAAGAAGGATGCAGAGCTGCTAGAGTAGATCCAGAAGAGGGCCACAAAGACAATCAGAAGGCTGGAGGTACTGACTTTTTACTCGAGTAGATAGTGATAAGGCAAGGGGGAATGGATTTAAACTGAAAGAGGATTTCTAGATTAGATGTTAGGAAGAAATTCTTCATTCAGAAGATGGAACAGGCTGCCCAGAGAAGTTGTGGATGCCCCATCCATAGAGGGGATGTCAAGTAAGA